GGAGGAGGAGGAGGAGGAGGAGCAGGAGGAGGAGGAGGAGGAGCAGGAGGAGATCCTCAGGCTTCAGCGTTGCGAGCTTTCCCGAGCCGCCCGCCCCGCGGAGCGGAGCGACGCGCTGCCCGCTCGCAGGGCACAGCGCGTCGCCGGGACGGCCGCGGTGCCACGCGGAGCAAGAGCTCCCGACGGCGGGCCGTCCTGGTGGCCTCTGCGGGCATGGGGGGGCCGAGGGTCGCCCAGCTGTGTGTTCAGGGCAGTCATCTACACCTTAGGCGATGCTTAAGAAAACCTAAGTTTTCGGCCAGAGTCTCGATTATTCTTAACGTTTCAATGTAAGTCCCAAGATTTTGATAGAAATGTTGGGTTTTTGTTCAAGTTCTGAGACCATGAATTTCTTAACCCATGATTTCTTAACCATTTCGCGTGGTGTAGGAGGCTCGGGTTTCTGGGGCCGTCTTGGATCTTCTCTGTGCCTTCGTGTCCATGTTGGGGCGCTCTTGGGCTCCCGCGGGCGGATGCAGGAGCCTCCGCACAGGAGGCCTGGACGTTGAAGGATGTCTGGGGGTGTCCTCCACCAGTGCTTTTGGAGGGCGAGTGGGAGGCGTAGGACCGGAGGCAGGGGCACGAGGAAAAGGAGAAGGAGGAGCATGAGGAGGAAGAGCAGCAGCAGCATAATCAGGGGCTTGCGCAGGAGCAGAAGCAAGACGGGGCATGCAGCAGAGCAGAGAGGAGCAAGACGATCTCTTGGGGGCACCCCCGCGTGCGTCCTCGCCGCCGAGGGCGGTCGCCGAAGGCCACCGTCGTCGTCGTCGTCGTCGTCGTCGTCGTCGTCGTCGTCGTCGTCGTCGTCGTCGTCGAAGGCCGCCGTCGTCGCTGGCCGCAGCGGCCCCGACAAGGACGAACTCATCACGCTCCGGCACCTGCGCCTGACGCTGTCGCCCGTGAGCGCGTACTGCTACTACCTCGACCCGGCGACGGAGGCTGGACGCCACGCCGGGGCAACGCTCGGGGGGGATAGTAAAACAGGGCTAGGATCGGGATAGATCGCTCCAGAGCGTTCCGGAGAGCTCTCAGAGCGTTCCGGAACGCTCTGGAGCGGCCGCGGGCGCCCAATACATCCTCCAAACCCGCCGATCCTCAGAGATTTCGAGTTATCCCGATCCGACTTTGTCCCGATCCTCGCGTTTATCGTTTTGAATAGGCTACAGGGGGGGGGGGGGGGGGGGGCGCACGTCGACCCCGGGCCGCCCCTGCATCGCAGGCAAGGGCCCGGTAGCCCAGTGCCTCCCAGGAGCCGTCGGTTTCACTAGCGGGAGCTGTCGCCGGTGCATCGGCGGTGCATCGCCGATTCCAGGTCGTTTTCTCTGCCGGAGCCGAACCTCCCCCCGATCGCTCCCGCTCGGCTGACGACCTGAGGACCATCCTTGGTACCTCTCACCTCGATCCCAACCTTCTGCTGATGCCTCCCTCCAGGAGGACGGTGGTGCTCCCCTCAGGATCCAGCGAACTGCATACTCATTATCAACCTGTTATCTGCATGCCAGTAGCTGCAGCCAGAAGCGTGGGAGCGTTCCCCACTAAATTACCACCTGTTCAGCCATTCACCAGTTCCAACTCTTTTCCTGACCTCTTGCCACTTTCTACTTTCTCACTTGCAGTCTGCTGCCCAGGCGTTCAACAACGTTCTACACAGGGAGGGGAGGACAGCCAACCTTCTAGAGTCTTCCGTCCAGGGGATGGGGCATGACGCTTTTCGATCATCCTACACGCTTGCCGAGCGAACCGAGCGCGTTGGCACCAGTTACCCACGCTGACCTTACTACCCGTGCAGTCTGTAAGAGTCCCCCTTTTCACTTTCTTCACCGCCTCACAAAGTCGACCTGCTCCACGTTCACAGAGTCTGCCACGCAGCCTTGCTCGCCCCACTCAAGCCAGGCATACCCAGGCCCAGCGGCAGCACACACCAAACCACTTGCTACTGCGGCCAGTTTAGCCCTCGGCAGGGGGTGAGCCTTACCTTTGGTTTGAGACCCTCAGTGTGGGCTTCCGAGCAGCAGCAACTTACGCCAGCCTCGAGTCGGAGAGAACACAACAAGGAGCAGAACCAGCGACTGCCCGCAGCATTTCGACAAGTTGTTCGATGTCCTTCACTCTTGTTGCGGTTTACATTCGAATGACCATGTTACGTACCATCTGGGGATTGTGTTCATTTCGTTCACCCCCTCCCCGACCAGGTGGGCGCACACTCCATGTCCTATCGGGCCTAGTCGTATTGTTATTGATCACTTTTTGTTGCCTGTCCTTGTTCCTGCTGGGCTCACCTACAGTGAATACCCATGCCAAGAAACACCATGCTTGCCTCAAGGGTGCCCTGGCTTCTTGGGCTTCGATGATTTTGCGATGGAAAGCGCGACGTCCCCAAGCCATGAGTCAATGGACGTCCTGGGGTCTCAGGGTTGGGTTTCTTGTGCAAGGTTCCTTGTGGACTGGACTCCGCTGTATACTTGATCACTTGTTTTGCCTGTCCTTGCTCCTGCTGCGCTTACCCAGCTCCCACCTGTCGGCCACGGCGCCCAAGGCGATTTCTGATGCCGGCACGCCGCCACTGTTTTGTTTCCGCCAGAACGCCGCGAACCCCGTCGATCAGAGCCTCGCCAACGTGAGAGGAGGAGGTGAAAGTTGAGATCAGGAGGGGAAAAAACACACAGACACAATTAATCCTCGATTCCCAGGAAAATATAGGAAAATATGGGAATTGGGGGAGAAGACAAAACCCCAGAAAATATGGGAAAATATGGGGACTAATTTGATTTGTGTGTATTTATTTGTGTGTCCTGGGGCCCCTTCAAACGTGAGAGGAGGAGGTGAAAGCTGAGCGCCGCTGCTGGGTGCCAGACCCCCCGACTATAAGCCCCACTGGCCCATTGGCCGATATCCTCGCGGCGCACCGCGCGCCGCGCCCCGCCCCCTCGGCCTCGGCAGGGCCGCAGACCCCTGGAGACCCGCGGGCGCAGGGACGCGTGGGAGGAGGAGCAGGGGGAGGAGCAGGGAGGAGGAGGAGGAGGAGGAGGAGGAGGAGGATAGGAGGAGGGAGGAGGAGGAGGAGGAGGAGGAGGAGGAGGAGGAGGGGAGGAGGAGGAGGAGGAGAGAGGCGGAGGAGGAGGAGGAGGAGGAGGAGAGGAGGAGGAGGAGGGAGGCGGAGAGGGGAGGTGAAGGAAGGAGGAGGAGGAGGAAGGAGGAGGAGGAGGAGGGGGAGGATGAGGCGGAGGAGGGGAGCAGGAGGAGGAGGAGAAGGAGGAGGAGGGGGGAGGAGGAGAGCGAGGAGAGGAAGGAGGGAGGAGGAGGAGGAGGAGGAGGAGGAGGAGGAGGAGCAGGAGGATATAAGGCCGCCACCGGCCCCCGCCGAGCGTGTCGGCGGGCCCGCCGCCGACGCTAGCGCGCGCGCCGCCGTCGAGAGAGAGAGAGAGAGAGCGAGAGCGAGAGCGAGAGCGAGAGATGCGTAGCGCCTGTCGAGGGATTGGCGTGGAAGATGTAGGGCGGAGGTTGGGGGCGAGATCGAAGTGGAACGGAGAGCCCCCCTACTGGGAAATCGGTTTCGGTGTCGTCTTCGTGCGTGCCGTGCGTGCGGGCGAGGCGAAGCTGCGTGGGCGGGCTGCGTGCTGCGTAGGTATACGTATCTGTGTATCTGTCTATGTATCTTTGCATAAACACGTACCTATGCGACCACCTCTCGGGTGATAAGGAGGCTGTGGGGGGGAGAGGGGGGGACCAACGTCTGACTGAATCGATCACACTATAGATCTCACCCAACCGGACACCACGGGACACTTGTCGATCTCGCTATCGATCTCACTAAAGATCTCACTCACCTCGGGACACCGCGGGCCACCACGGGACACCACGGGACACCGCGGGACACTTCTCGATCTCACGGTGGGATTCACTTCCGATCTCACGATCGATCTCACTCTCAACGGGACACCATAGGACAGACACCACGGGACACCTCGGGACACCACTCTCACTCAACGGGGCGCAACGGGACACCACGGGACACCACGGGACACCACTGGACACCTGTCGATCTCACTAACGATCTCACTATAGATCTCCCTTTTTGAGACACCACGGGACACCTCCGGGCTCCACATCGATCTCACTATTGATCTCACTCAACGTGACCCCATGGGACACCACCGGACACCACGGGTTACCACGGGACACCTGTCCATCTCACAAAACTCACTATCGGTCTCACTTGTTGGGACACCACGGGACACCTCGGGGCACCAAATCGATCTCTGTATTGAATTCACTATCGATCTCACTATCGATCTCAGTATCGATCTCACGATCGATCTCACTATCGTTCTCGCCCAACGGAACACCACGGGACACCCCGGGACAATTGTCGATATCGTTATCGATCTCAGTATCGATCTCACTCAACCAGACACCCCGGGGCACCACGGGACAACGCGGGACACCTCGGGACACCACATCAATCCCACTAGAGATCTCATTCAACGGGCACCACGGGGCACCACGGGACACCTGCCGATCTCACTATCCATTTCACTATAGATCTCACTTTTTGGGACACCATGGGACACCTCCGGGCACCTCATCGATCTCAGTATCGATCTCACTATCGATCTCACTCACAGGACACCACGGGATTCCACGGGACACCACGGGACACCTGTCGATCCCATTATCGATCGCACTATCGGTCTCACCTGTTGGGACACCACGGGATACCTCGAGGCACCACATCGATCTTAGTATCGATCTCACCATCGATCACTATCGATCTCACTCAATGGGACACCACGGGACACCGCGGGCCACCGCCAGACGGACGGACGGACGGACGGAAGGCGGAGGCGCAACATTTGTGCAGGACGGAAGGCGGACGGACGGAAGGCGAGAAACAGCATTTGCCTTGATTTCGCCCTAGCAACGGCGGGTTCATTCCTCTCGCGCGTCCAGGCAGATTCGCCTCGCCCGCACGCACGCACAACACGACCGAAACGACACGATGTCCCGTTTGGGGGTCTCCGTTTCACTGCGATCTCACCCAACCTCCGATATCTCTTTATATATATATAGAGAAAGAGAGATGTAAGTATGAAAGAGCGCGCTGCGGGGGCCCAGCTTCAAGCTCCCCCCTTCTTCCACCAGGGGAGAGGGGGCTTTCGAAGCTACTCCCTCCCCCTCCTCCCTCCGCTGGGACACTCATGGGGGGGCTTCAGAACCCCTCCCCCTCCTTCTGGGTGTCGGGGTAAGCTTGTGCTGCCCTTGTCGAGGCTGGAGGGGGAAGCTGCTCCCCCCCCCCTGCTGTACGGGGTGGGGGCTTCCGAAGTTCCGCCCCTCCCCGCTTTGGGGAGGAGGAGGAGGAGGAGGAGGAGGAGGAGGAGGAGGAGGAGGAGGAGGAGGAGGAGGAGGAGGAGGCAAGCTTCCGAAGCTACCCTTCTCCCCCGCTTTCTCCCCCCTTTGCAAAGCTGGAGGTTGCCGTTGCCGGGCCCCTAGGTGGGGGGATCGAAGATCCCCCCCCTCTTTCTCGGGGCTGAGGGTGAGCCTTGGCTTCCGGTTGCGGGGGGTGGCTTCCGAAGCTACCCCCTCCCCCCGACTGCGTTTTCGTGTTTTGTGGAATTGCGGGGCGGTGCCTGTGGTGTTGCCGTCTTTCTCTTCGTCGTCGTCCTCGTCCTCGTCCTCGGGAGCTTGTTGTCGGCTTGTTGCGGCGTGTTGGGGCCTCGCGGCGGCCCTCAAGGCCTCTTGAAGCGTCTTCGGTGCCTTGGGAGGGGGCCTCTTGGGGGTCTCTTGGCCTCTTGGGGCCTCCTGGGCGCCTCTTGGGGCACTCTTGGGAGCCTCGGGGGCCATCTTGGGGCCATCTTCAAGGTGATCGATCAAAGAAGGGGGTAGGGAGGACGGGGGGGCGGGGGGGGGGGATTGCGCTCTTCCCAAGAGGCCGTGGCAG